CTCAACCAAGGCGGCAATGAAGTACGAGCCTTTCTGGAGTTTCGAGGCATCTTCCAGTCAGTGAAACCGACAGTAAAAGCAGGCTTGTAGGTTGGGACACCAATTTTCCGGTTGCGTCTGGCAATACACACGCATCATCCGACAGTGTGCACTTCCTGCTTCAGTAAACTGCCTCGTCATAGGGTTTAATTTTCTACTCCTCTGCCCGTATCGGTGGGGGCTGGCGCGTTACTGATACGAGGCAGGCTGCCGTCTGCGCGCACAAGAGCTGGTCTGCTATTTCAACGCAAAAATCCCTTGGATCAAAGTAGACTCGCGAGGAAAATCTGGAATGCCGATTGCCTAGGACAGCCGCCTGCGGTATGTCGGCCTCAGAGTAACCTGGCGGGAAGTGCGACAAGGCGTTCCAAATCTGTTTTTTCCTCCCCCTCTCTCTCTCTCACTCACTCAGAGGACGTTTTCTGACCTCGCGAGTTCCCTCTGACCTCTGGTGTATGCCTTGCACGGTAGTTTGATTCTTTTTTAAAGACCGGAAGCATCAAATCCCACTGTGAGATGAGTGTGTGGTGACCTCACAGACCGCGACATGCGGATTTTCCGTCGAGCACTTTCCCCAACAACCCATGATCATTCCATCCGAAAAACGCAATTGCCTTGTCGGCGTTTCCTTTTTCCCATGGTTTCCTTGCTGCTGGTTTAAGTCCAAATATGCGTCGTAGAAGAGAGCGAGAGAAAGAGAGAGAAGTGGTTATATTTTGAGAGAAGGTGTCAGCGAAAAGTAAATTCCGAAACACTGCCGTTTAGCACGAGCGAACACCACGGACTTATTATCCATGACGTGAACCTCACTTACTTCAGGGATGTGTGACCCTAGTCATTAGATGACGGCGTAAAGAGTGTGAATAAACAAAGGGTGGAACACGAGAGCACGCCCCTCCCCCGTATGAGAAATAACCTTGCTCTAGATTTCAGGGGGATTCTGGTTAGGGCTAATGATAAGGCTGGGGTTTTTTATTATTTGAAAGGTTGGAGTTAGAGTCAGGGATATGGAGGTCAGAATTGGGGAAAAGTTAGGAGACAGGGGTATATGTGACTCCTGGAATTAAGCTCAAGGCCACCCTTCGTACGAGGGCGTCCATATTCTCGTGTTCCACGAAGGAAGGAATGAAATTCTTGTTAATTTCAGCAGGCAGTCAGTTTCTTACGTCTAGGTCAAAAAATGGCAACGGTATAGAGGAGGACCCCACTTAACTGTCAGTAAGCTGTGGATCGTGCCATACGTGATTTATGGTAAAGGTAGTTTTATGCGTGGGGCAGCACATTAGACAGTAAGCTGACAAAGTGAAAGAAAACACAAAAATAGCCTGGATTTATGCCGAAAGTCTTATCCTACGCTACTGTGCGACAACGGAAATTAGAGTTGTAATTTATCAATAAACAAAAATTAAATTTCACAAAATAACGGATTTCGAGTTAAGGTGTGAGGTCGTGGGAAACAATCGTTGTTGGCAGTGTAATTTCTGCAACAGCCTGCAAATGCATGCCAAGACAAAACCCCACATGACACGATCCACAGTCTACTAAAAGTTACGTGGGGTCCTTCTCTATACCGCTGCCAGAAAAATGTTCATCTGCGAATAGATGCGGTAAAAATGACGTTTCATTTGAAAAGTCGGTCAGATGTGGTTATGCAGTCGCACTTGAGGTAAACATTTAACTTGCCACTTCAAATTGTTAGAGGAGGAGGTTTTCGGGGAGCAGGTGGT